GGAGCCATGGAGGAGCTCCCGGGGACCGGGTGGGCTTAGAGGGCAAGGGTGTCTTTGATGAGCCTGCGCATGGTGGTGGTGACGGAGGTGCCCAGGGCATCGGTGATCTGGAAGGAGATCTTGTAGACGTAGGGCTGCACGTCCTGCAAGCCTGTGTCAAACACGTTATCCACCTCCGACTGTGTGGGCATCTTGGGCAGGTACTCGTGCCGATTCATCACCTCCACGATGTTGATGATCTTCTCACAAAGTTTCTCGCCCACCTTCTCCCGGCAGATCTGCCACTCCTGCTCTGTGGCCAGGGCTACCACGTGCACCTTGACCGTCCACACTTCCCATGGGATGCACTCATCTGAGAAAGGCCAGCGAGACTTCTTCTTCTGGTAGAACTCCAAGGACATCTGCCTCAGCCCATCGCCACCAGAGTTGCGCAGCGCATCCTTGAACTCCCCAACAACCTTGCGCAGGGCGCGGTCCAGTTCCTCAGAAGAGACACGAACGTAGGTGAAGTCGATGAAGTCACAGTCGACATCCTGGGTGCCCACGGTGCCAATGGAGTAGGTGCCCTCCTTCTTGTAGTGGAACTTGCCAGTGCTGCGGTGCAGGAGCACCGTGTGCAACACAGCCAGCAAGGCCTCCTCCACCTGCCGACCCTCCACTGACACCTCCAGCACCTCCGAGCGACAGTTCATCCTGCAGCCAGTGACCCACACCAAGGTGGGGAACGAGGACAAAGACAGGGATTTCACCCTACCCAAGGGCCACCCTGGAGTGTAGAGTCGGGACCACGGATTCCTCAGGCTCGGCTCATGCCCTTCCTCCTCATTCTCCTCCTCACGCCCAGGTGCGACCTCCGCAAGTATGCGTCAACCTCCCCACGGCGCTGAGCCACAAGAGACAGGCTCTCGCCGCCACTACGCGCGAACCTCCACGGTCCAGGGAACCAGGGAGTACTGAATCCCTCGGGTGTCTCGGGGGCGGCGCCCCGCACCCAGGCTGGCCAGACTCGGAAGCTGGAAGGAGCGCCCTCGTTCCGCCACCCCGGGGGATGCCCACGCCTGCACAGGAGAGGGCCCAGACAGTTAAAATAGCTCCCACCTCCCCTAATCCCATCCACGACCCACCTCTCACAGGCCACCGCTCTCCCAGCAGGCTCCAGACTACCCGGGTCGGAGGCTGAGCCAGGACCGACTTTTTTTGTACAAAGCCTGTTCCTTTTTTGTAATGTCACATCCTTCTGCCCGCGGCATTTCTTCCTGATGGCCCGGAGGTAATAGAACTTAATCGATCTGAGAACTTATGTCATGAAAACGCATTCTTCATCAATGAAGCTTTAGTACAAATGTCATTTAACACTTTCAACAAACCAAATCCATCAGTTATCCATAAGGATGCCAGTTGCCCCACAACTCAACCTAATTCTGACTTGGTAAGGACTAGTGAAAATCAAGTAGACCTCAAGACGGACCTTTCCCAGCCTTCGAATGTCAGCCACGAACTGTGGACAGCTGCCGGGTCCTGCCATCAGATGCTTCCTCTCCACGAAAGCAGCAGGGATTCTTGTAAAAATGGTAATTAACACTTTAAATGTCACCTGTATAGTTTCAACAAGACATTGTCTCTCTGAATGGTTGGCTCTTCTGTAGAGTGAATCAAAGTCCTCCCTAGCATGGGAATAAATTGGTGCTGATGAGCTGGAGTTTGCGGCATTCACTGTTCTTCGGTGAAGTCTGGGGTCGGCCTTTGCTTGTAAGTTACCTAGACAAGTGAGACCATGGTCATAGGGCTTGCAGAATGCTTACAACATGTAAGCACCAGGCAGTATTTTTAGATGTGTGGGTTAAAATGATAATGTCCTCTTAAAAGTAAAGCAACTTGATATTTACTCCCCACTACTGTGGACCCCAGTGCATCCTGAAACACCTACGTTGACACTCAGAAATAAAAGATACCAACAAGGTTTATAGTAGGACTTCATTGTCTATCGGGGCAATTTCCTGTAACGTTAGTGAAATCTTCTGTACTGCTATTAAACACCCAAAATGAAACTGTTTAAAAAAAAAACAAAACAAAAACAAAAAACAAAAAACGG